CTACTAAGTCACATACTTATCTAATAGATTCTATAAACATTCGTAATCATACAAATCACTCATACATTCAACTATAGCATCATCATAACCAGTCGACAGTACATGACATATCATAAATCATGCTAACATATAACACATGCATATCATTTCATTCACCATAAAATACACATTCACTACTACATACATCATTTAACTAGGAAGCTTTACTTCTTAAAAAAAAAAAAAAGGCGTACCTGACCGTGATAGTGCGTTTGCTGGAGGACCATGGAAGTACGTTAAGCTTACATTGTAAGCCAGTCTACAAGACCTATAACCTAGAGCTCTGATACCAACTGAAATGCCTCTAATTTTCTAAACCTAATTAGTGACTTCACCCATGCATGCATAATTCATTAGGCCGAATCCCATCATAAATAACCCTGGAAAACACAAAAAAGTCTTTCATAAAGATTCATAAATCCAAAACAAACCTATCTCCAAAAATAAACCTTCAATAACTGAATTCAAAATAAATCTAAATAAAAGAATACTCGATGCTATAACTTAAAACAGTCCAATAAACATAAACTCCTAAAAATATCCCATCCCCAACTTCCATGGTGTCCTCAGCTCCATCGTCAATCGTACATTGGCGCCTTGCCTTTACCTGAAAAATGTAGGTAGCACGTGGCTTGAGTATTTTATGAAATACTCAGTAAGTCACCCCACTGTTGGGGTTAGAAATGCAAACACATGCAACATATGAGCGGGACCTAACTTTTCATAAACTTTACATAGCCTTGGGCGCTTTTCTATTCTGGGTAGGGTTGGGTGTGTGGTACTTCTTCACACACGGCCCATGTACGCGTACATGGACCCACTAGGCGGGTTCGTATACATCCCCCTCGGGCCTGACTTGGTCGGGCACAACGTGTTACATGTCGCCGGACACCATAGAACAGAAAAGGGCCCGCATGATATCATGGCGAACGTAAATATCGTAATTCATTCTTTCGTATCATAAAGGGGAAGAAATCCGATGCCGTGACATATATATACGCATGAGGTTCCTTCACATATCTAACATGACATTACAACTGTCTTGCCAATTTTTATCTAACATGAGGTTCTTTTCTATTGATGTCGTTTCCTTTTTTTCCTCATCTACTTTTATCTATGTGTGTTCTTTTTCTTTTAATTAGGTTTACAACTGTGTCTTGCCAATTTTTATCTATTCTTAATTACAAAAAAAGTCAAAGATATTAATAAATTCCATATCTCCCATTTTTTCCTTCTCTATATTTACTCTGTTTCTTCTTTTAATTCGCTCCCCAAATCTTCCCTTTTTTCCCTCTGTTACTTATTGCTCACATGTATTCTCAATTTTTTTAATTAGGTTTACAGTTCTTTTGCCATTAGATTCTAATTTTTCTTTTCTAAAAATATTATGAAGCAAATTTTTTTTATTTTGATTTTCAAAATATTTAAAATCTAAATAATTGCGAGAGATAAAAGAGCGGGAGATCTAACCTACCAATAACTTTCTATCTATTTGCAAAGGAGGAAAGAAAAAGAGATCTACTATGATTTTTTTTTTTTTTTTT